TGTAAAGAAAGATGAATACAGAAGGTTAAGGTCAGAGTGTGCATCATTACAAGTAGGTGGATGTACTTTGATGTACTTATACATCATCTCAATTGTGAGGGAGATCATGCATTCCTACATCCACCCTCAGGGTTGAGACTGACACTATGGAGCTAATACTTCAGTCTGAGTGGGCCCATCCTGGATTTAGAAGCAGGACTTTAAAATATATATTCAGACCGTTTGTTTCAAAAAAAGAAGTTTATTAAAAAACAAATACCCAGTACACCAACCATTTGTAGTACAGTTTACAAAAATAAATTCACAGGTAAGCAAGTCTCAACACCCTCAGGGCAAACAGGTGTGATGTGTAGCACTCAGGAAGCTAATCTCATTAAGCACATGCACACACTTATGTACAAAGCACCTGAGATACATAGCTGCCAAAGGGCCAATTGGAATTCTGAATCCACAGTGTTTTACAACTGACAGAGCACAAATATGGGCAATTGTTCCTATTGTAAACAAACATATCAGATCAGCTTCTGTGCTTTGTGGAAGAATTACCTGCAATGAATTCAAGTCTGTCTGGTGTCAAGTCAGCACCTGGAGGCAGAACACCATGAATAGGCAGTTTAGGCTTCTTTCTCTTCTGTGCTTTTTGTTACCTGAGGCCATCCAGGTTCCAACTTATTATTTCATCAGTTTGAACAAAAGTCTATAACTTATTTAAGTAGTTACAAAACAGTTGCAGAGCACTTTCCAAATGAAAATTGGGTTATCAGCTGCCTCATACAAAAGAAGAGGATGACTGTTAGAATGTGTGTCAGCTTATCCTGTTTTTGGCTTTGACTCGATACCTTATTCCTGCCTTGTTTATGATTTCCCTCTTATCGGCTCCAATACAACAAACAACACGGGCTCTTAGATGAAAAGGTGCAAGTAAATTATGAGTTTCAGTGATGAAGTGCCAGCTCAGAGTAGGCGGAAGGTCCCATAAATCCTACAGAAGTTCCCTTATTTCACCTGGTCTTTGCCGTCTTAAAGTTCCTTCACCCGCAGAGGAGTGCAGAGCTAAGAAACAAGTGCGCAAGTCTCATTCAGAGCCATCATTTTCTAAGTGTCAGCATAGCATTGACGTCCCACAGAAGGTTCCTCATCTGGTCCATCAGAACCTTCATCTCCTGGTTCTTCTGGCGCAATTTCTGTATAACAACAAGACATTTGGCCATTAGTTAAACTCTGCAGAACACGTGGACTTTAACCATTGCCTGTTACATCCTTATACATATAAGCAATCCGGGAAGGAAATAGCTAATCACATATTAACAAGTGATGCTGACACTGCCTCACACCTGGAGGAAAAATACTTTTCTACTGGTGCTGATGCTAAAGCCAACAGTCCTCTCAGCCTCAGGCAGAATTTTCCAGTGTTTTGCCACTGGCTCCCTGAAGGTATTTTTGTAACCCAACTGAAATATTAGCTCTAACAAAAAACAACACCCTAATTCAGAATGAGTAAATAATGCAGAGTTTTTCAGTTAAAATCCAGATGCTACTTTAGCCTGTGTCAGCACTGCCACCTAGAGGAATTTGAAAGGGACTTTATTCTGCTCATTTCAGCATAGCTAAGTAACACTGTCCCCAATTATTAAAATATATAATAAACTGTGGAACACCAAACAATATATGAGAAATTAATTGATTCATATGTTGAATCCATTTCAAGAAAAGCTGCAGCAATAAGTCAATGAACTGGCATAACGTTTGTTGCCAACCCTTTTTCTTTCTTAGTAGCTAATGATGTTTTCTGCACGTTTAGGATTTCCTGTTTTGTGTCATAAAGTGACGGTAATAGATATCCTGGCTGTTGGTCAGAGAAAACAAGGCACTAAAAGATGTCCCTTTTAGCAGTGGGAAGTTATCAATTTCAAGACCAATTATTATTAATTATTACAGAATTATTTGCAAATCTCACGAACCCATAACAATTCACAATAGTGCAGAAAAAACGTATCAAATGTTTAAACTGGGATAATGCACCATTTAAAAACAAAAGGTAACACTGACTTTGCTGGCACCAACACGTACGTTTTCAACAAGTCTCTAAATCCTGGACTTGAAATTCTGTGTGTACTGCTTTTTTATTTATTTTATTTCAACTTAACCCCCCCAAAAAAAGGCCCCGTCACTGCTGATGGTTTCCCGAGGCGACAAGAACATTACAGAAACCCACCTCTAGGACCTCGTTTCTTTCCTGGATGACAGCAGGACTGCAGGGCTCCACTCTGACAGAAACCAGCTCCTCTCCAGCGTACGGCACAAGCTGAACACACAGCCGAGGTAAATCACGATTAAAATTGCATTTTTTTTTTTCTCATTATCAAATCAGACATAAAGAAAGAACATAGTTCTACAGTAGTTATATAGTAGTAATTGAAAAAATGTTTGTTTGTTTTTCTTTTTTTGGGGGGGGGTCAGCAAAGGTCTTCTCTAACCTCAGCTGGTCCCTCCTTCAGGTCAGAGGTCATTTCCACACAGCGTTCATACAGCAGTCGGAGTTTTTTGAAGAGCAGAGTGAGCTGCCGAAGGTGTTCCTGGAGCTTCCCAAAGCGGTCCTGATACGTTGCCTGGCTCTGAGTCACCCCATTAGGAAGCTGAATCAAAAACACACAATAGATAACATGAAATCATTTGGAATAATTACACTTCTATTTCTAAATACAGCAGTGTAATGCTGGTTTCCTGTTTTCTGCAAATAAAAATGCTGACAGTGTCAGGCAATGTAAATGACTGCATGTACATTGGACATGTAGACAATCATTTTTCAAAACCAAGTAATAGCAATGGCAACACAAAACCATAGTGTTCCTCTTCTCTGAGCTGCACAGGTTTAAAAAAAAAAAAAAGGGGGGGGGGGGTCACCTTAATAGGCAAGAACAAGCTTTAGAAGTCAGCACTACACTGAAAAACACAGAGGCGCATTTGGTAACACGGATCAAATGGAGATGGGAGGATGGGTACGAGGGATGCTGACAGGCAAGCCGAGCAGATATGCCAGAAAAGAAGACGGGCCAAATTGAGACTGACAGGGAACAGTGGAACCACTTTAGCCACATAAATACCACCCACTCAGTTAACAGCCACACATACACCAGAGCTGCTGGTGCAATTTGCTGCACTTAAGCTAAAGAAATAATGCTAATATAACAATAACTGCAATTTTTGGTAGCAGTAAAATATGAGTAACCGTCCGTGCTGCCCACCTAAAACTGCAGACTGGTGACTCAGCAGGTAATTATTGAACTAATCAGTCAGTAAACCTGCAGTCATTTGAATTTTCTGTTAAAATGCCAAATGTACAAAGGTTCCAAGGAAGGGCTCAAGCACCCAAATGTGAGAGGCGCTGTTGTCTGAGAAGTGTGGATTTTAATTGGCTGATGCCCGGATTACACACTTACGGACGAGGGCACGGACAGCTCTGGAGATTATGGCCAAAAGCTTGATCTTATAATAGTTTTACATAGTGTACATCAAGTCCACCAGGGGGAGGTCAAATTGGTGCCCTGATAGTGTCAGTGAGGTCACCAAATTGGCATTCACAGAGCCTTGTGTTCACACTCCAATGACCCACTTTTTATTTTAATTGTTGCCAATAGCTAGTTAGTTGGAGCAGTTGTTGTCTTTCTTTTTTTTTTTTAATCTAAGACATTGTTTTTTCTCTTCTATTAGACAAAACGAATGTTATTTATAAATGGTATGAGGAACCTGAAGCAGAACTTGATTGAGTTTTCAAAAGTCGTTCAGATTAAATAAATATTAAAAACGATCGTTACAGCTGTAGTTTTGGACTTTAAGTCAATATGAGAACTTAACAGGCAGGAGTGCAGAGGTGAGAGCTGGGACAAAGGCTGGTAAAAGGAGACAGCTGGCTGGTATGATAGAGAGAATGAGACCAGGTGGGAAGAAAGCCATGCCTGAGAAATTATAGATATACTCAAATGTGGAAGTGAAGAGTGTGTCATACAGGATTGAAGCTGGAAATCAAATAGGTGATGTTGAATTTGTTCACTACACGTTGGATGTCAGTTAGAAGAAAAAAACCAGAGTAATTTGGATAAGACCGTAAGCATAGTCAGAGTGTAAGAGACTGGCGATAGGAGCAGGCAATAGACATATGGGTGATGGAAATAGATTTGATAAGGACGTATCATATTTCAAGAAGACAAAAGAACACAGGGTGACATATAAGAAATGAGGAAGATGCATACAGGCGGACTACATTTAACCAGAAGGTGCAACCTGAAAGAGACACGAGACTGCAAGGTTAAGATTAAGAGTTTCATTAGGAATGTAATCAGACGGATGGCTCAGATTGAGTGCTAGAGAGGGAAGACTAAGATGGCTGGAAAATGTGCAGATAGGAATAATGGATATACTCGACAAAGATTGCTGAAAATGGAGCTGCTAGGCCAGAGGAAATGAGGAAAAAAGGAGAAGATTCATGAATGTAGTGAAGGGGACATGAAGATGGTTAGTGTGACAGAAGAGGATGTCAGAGAGAGATGGAGGCTGTAGTGACCCCTCAGAAGAGCAGCTGAACTGAGAAGATGAATGAGAAACTAACAGTAAGAAATATTAGTCTGCTAATGATACACCCATAAACAAAGCTGTATGTGAGTGGGCAAGAATATAGGTAAGTGTGTTATACTCATATTACATATAGGTATGCGACAATATCGTTATTTTGATATCAAGTCCCAGACACTAACAACAAGAAAACAGTTCCTGCTGCTAAGCATGAGCCTCGTGTCCCTTACCTGTGTGGCTCGGGTAATCTGGAAGATCTCCATAGTGCGTGTGACAATATCTTGTACAGTCTCCTGTCCGATCCTGCAGAGGAACACCGGGGAGATCTCCCTAAGGGCTCCCTGAGGAGGCATGGGCTGCTGACCTGCACTTGGGGCAGCACCGGGGGGCAGATGAGGCGGCTGCTGCTGCTGTGAGGGCATCCCTGCCATCCCTGGCTTCTGAGGTAAAGAAGCTGCCATATCCACACAAATCTGCGGGGTACGATGGTACAAGACAAAGGTGATGTTCTATTAGCGTAAATATACGTTTTCTCAACACAGCAAGGATGTATGCTCAAATTTAAGCTTATTAGAGAAACTACAGACGTTTCGAGATCATATTTAAGAAAGCAGGAAACTCCTTAAAAATGTACTCTCAATGGAGACGAGGGAGGGAAACTTAACTTACTGGCTAAACATGCTAGCTCAAGCAAATTAAGCTAACTAGTTAGCAACGGGCTGTGCAAAAAGCTACTTACCCAAGTTCAAACCGTCTTTTGGCTGAATGTTGTACAGATATTTCACAGATGATGCAGCCTTTGCGAAAAAGGGACTAGTTATTTATTATTTTAAATAAAGCATGATCACTGGCACCCTTCCATTGATTTCTTTCAGAAAGCGCAGCACGTTAATGCGTCACTTCCGGGCCAAAAAAATGGGATGAATTTTCCCACCGCTAGATGACGACAGTAGACGCGGATATACCTGAAGGTACTGTAAGCATCGGCTGTAAAAGAACAAAACAATTTTAGCTATATACTATATATACTATAGTGTCAAAATATACATTTGTTTTTCATTCACACTATTAAATATAAAACTGTAAAAAACATAGAGAGAAAAACACATTAAAAGTCATCACTTTTCATCAAATGCCACTAATTTCATCATAGAAAATGTTAGTGTTGGATTGACATTACTCAAGCATGATATTAAAATTAATTCAATTTAATTCTAAAGCACACATTACATGCATATTTTGCATGTAAAATGTAACAAGACCTTACACTGGATGTATGTAAAAGGGAGAATTTAAGTATGCAGTAAATACAATTGCTCATTCAAAAACAGCAATAATATAATTTCAATATTATATGATAGCCATCTAGTTATTTATTAGAAAGACAGCTATAGAATGATCATCTATTTATGATAGGGTATATGCAAAGCCTTATTGAACATGTGGTCATATTGATTTAAATGTCCTATGTATATTACTGTTTTATAGCCGCAAAGAGTTAGCGTGCTAGTAAAGAAGTTTAAACTTCATCCTACTCCTTTTCAAGCATGTAAATTATGTGGTATATACAGATAGTCATTAATATTTTTCCCCTATTAGTTTTTGTCTTCTGTTTGCAATGTTTGTTTGTTTTTTAAAGTATATTTACAGTAAAAAAAAAAACAATCAATTAATGTCTTAATCAAAATAGTCTTTTTTTTTAATTTAATGGAAACTGAAATCAGTAAATCAAATTGGTGGTTTACAAATTTTCACTCACACTTAAGGTGTGTCAATGATGGTTTCAAGTATTTATTTATTTATTTTTGAATAGTTATATCTTATAACTTAAGGAAATAGATAAGTCTTGGTGGCTGGGGATCAGTCTTCCACGGCCCCCGCTCTGGCCTCCGCCCGGCACACAATGCGCCCAACCCCTATAGCGCCTCCTTTGGTGGTGTGGGACTGCAGAGGGATGGGCCCATTTCCCTTTTTTGAACTGTCACCATGGACTAAGACCCGGCCACCAGACGCTCGCCCTCGGGTACCCTCTTTGAGCCTGCCTCCAAGGCAGGGTCCTGGTAACCCTATCCCGGGCAGGGTGAACTGTTCCCTTGATGTTCTACTCATAGCTGTCTTCTGTATCTTTCTTTGTCTGGTCCTTCACCCAGGACCCAGCTCTCAATTTACCAGTCGATCTGCATCCCTACCCCCACCTATGGTCATGAGCTGTGGGTAGTTCCTCCGAAGAGTGGCTGGCCTCTCCCCTAGAGATAGGGTGAGAAGTTCCTTCACATCGAAAGGACCCAGTTGAGGTGTTCCGGGCATCTGATAAGGATGCCTCCTGGGCTCCAAAGGGGTGAGGTATTCCAGGCATCTCCCACTGGGAGGAGGCCCCGGGGCAGACCCAAGGCATGCTGGAGAGATTATATCTCTCGGCTGTCCTGGGAACGCCTTGGTGTTCCCCCGGACAAGCTGGAGGAGGTGGCTAGGAAGAGGGAGGTTTGGGCTTCTCTGCTTATGCTGATGGATGGATGGATGGATGGATGGAAGTCAGACTTTTAAGTAGTAGACCTATTTTGTTTGACTCAAGGATAAATGAATTACACGTGTTTGCTTTGCTGTCAAGTCAGACCAATAAAACTGAGGAAAGGACTGGATTTGTCAGTCACATGTGGACCTACTTTCTTTATTTGATGAGTCTGGTTGCGTGACTTTATCCATGGTTTATATAGGATCAAAGGTTGCAGTCAACCTAGCACAACAACAGCAAGTTCAAGGAAGTACAGCTTCCTTCAAGGACTTGATTTAGACTTTATTCCCTTTGAACAAACATGAGTAAAATGGCCTGATATAGGCTCAGATTAAAAAAAGACGTAGTTTATATATTTGTATTTTATACTAAAATTGACTGATAATAGATCCAATTAACAACGCAAATACAGAAAAAACGATTCCTTCTACTTTGCAACTTTATTTTGCCTGTATGTTTCTCTTTGTTTTGACGTCACGTCACCATTTCCATCTGTGTTTGATGTACCGTTTCAACTTGAACTTTATGTTTGTTCTTAAGGAAATGCAATTTGCATGGAGATCTTAAACACGCAAGGCAGAGATAAGGTACGCAAGGTACTGATAACAATGAATGTTAAATGCATTTTAACGCACAGTGGGCTCAAAAAGCAAGACCACTTGTTTAAATACTTCTTTTTTAGCATCAGTTTTGGAATTTATTACATGCATTGTTCAAAGTGATGGCTTCAGCTGAGTCATTTAAATAAAAGACGGAATCTTTGAATAATATAGACATATTATTATACACACGTTTAGTCTGTGGCTCTTTTGTTTTAAGAATATCAGATATAGTTGAGTTGGGAAGTCTGTGCACAACTTGATAACTCATTTAATTCAGTTTAGTGTTATTTATATAGCGCCAAAACACAACAACAGTTGCCTCAAGGCGCTTAACCCATGTTATCACGGATTAATCAGACAATTTTGTAATCTTTGTAAGGCCAAGTAGTCCTTGACAATCAGCACCCTTGGACATTCTTGGTCTTAAAGTAGTTCTTCATCTTGGCATCGTTTAATCGTGCTCCTCAAAGATGGGTGGTGCTTGTTTATGAGGAATTACGTGTCATATTTTCCAGTCAAGAGTACAATTCAAGCTTGTAAAAAAATAACCTTTTTCCCCAATAACCTCAGAGTTTTAACACTTCTACAATCACTAAAGCAATCAAAGTTTTGATTGGCAGAGCCTTATGAACAAAGATTATTTGCCTCTGAGTCACTCATGTCTGCCTGAGTATCATTTTAACCCCTTGAACAATTGAAAGGATGATTTCCTATAATTTATACAATCCAGTTTACGCAAAGTAGTTTTTTAAAGCTACATTAGCTGTTTAGCTCTATAGTGTTTTCAGTCATTCGGATTAAGACATTTTACATGTTCATATTCATAACGGATTATATTTTAGACCATGTTTCTTAAAATGTGGAAATAGAACATTAACTTTTAGCTGTGTATCTTCACAGTCATACAGCTCATGGAAAAAATTGCTCCCTTTTTCCCCCTCAATCTCTTAAGATCCTAATTTTAGTAACAGTGCCCTCTGAAAGCAAATACTAGCATGCTAACATGCTAAAAGAAACATTAGCATGTAAATACTGCACAGTTGATATGAACGTCGTGATTTTAACATTTAACTAACTCTATATATCTCTCTGCAGCCTTCATTAATAATAATAATAATAATAACTTTATTTATAAAGCGCTTTCAAACAAAGTGCTGTATAACTGTTTAAAACTAAAGAGATAAAAAAAAAAAGAAAAAAAAAAAGCAATA